ACACATGTGGTAGCAAGCAGTATAGACGTTTTAATTTGTAGACTTTGTTTTCCGGGGCACCCTTTTATAAACACACCCAAATTCGTAGCTCCTCGCCATGGAGCCGGCCAGCGGGAGTGTGAAGGAGGGGAAGAAGGCGGAGGAGGTGAAGAAAGCCCTGGAGGGGCTGGATGTCGAAAGCACGAAAGTGCCAGACTCGGAGTTTTTGGAGGACCCGCCTTCCGAGAATGAGACGACAACCTCCACCAAGAGGTCCCAGAGCAAACCGGAGCGTGGAAGAGGCCCTCTGAGGGAAGCCAAGCAGGCCAAGAAAGCTCTGATCCACAAAGGGGTCCTGACGAAGGAGGAGGCAGACCGTATGGGGGCGGAAGAGATCAAGGAGATGGTGAAGGAGTACCGGAAGGGGAGCTTCAACCTCTCGGAGGTCCTGCTGCAGCAGCTGGGGGAGAACCAGAAAGAGAACCTCTTCAAGAGGCTCTTCGAAGAGCACCAAGAGACCCCGGACATGAAGTTCCCGGAGATCACGCCCGAGCAGGTGTCGGTTGCCAACGGGATCCTGCTTTCCAACTACCTCTACAAACCGTGCCCCTTCTGCAAGAAGCAGTTGGACGAGTGGCACGTGCACACCCCCCAGCACTGTGTCTACATGACCGAGCACCTCAAGTCCAACTATTTGCTGTCGGGCGATCCACGCACGATGAAGTACATGGACGTCAAAAAATCTTTTCTTCGAGTGAGGCGATTCGGCGGCGGCCTCAAGAAGCTCAGCCTCAATGGGGCTATGGAGTACTGGGGCGACGTGGAGACCCTCCCGTCGCTGGTGAAGTCGATGCACCAGGAGAAGCCCATGAAGGTGAAGTACGGCACGTCCACAAGCGCCCAAACTCACGAGCTGAAGAAGGAGCAGGTGGGCTTGGGTAAAAACGATAACCAAATAAAAATAGCGATAAGGTTTAGAATATAGGATAGGAAGAGTGGCCAGGGGGTTTTCACACGAGCCCAAGTGGCCAAGTACCATTTGGCCTGGGTGAGTTATGACGACAAATCCAGGAAGTATACGAATGCGACGTACTCCAAGGAGCACCTCAAGCTCCACACCGAGCTCCAGAGGCCTAAACCCTAAACCCTAAACCCTAAACCCTGAACCCTGAACCCTGAAGCCTGAACCCTGAACCCTAAACCCTAAACCCTAAACCCTGAGGAACCCAGAGATGGTCTTCGAGAGCCCCGAGGCCAATGGTAGCTGGTGGCCTGTTGTCCTGCTTCAAAGGCCCGAGGATGGCGATTACGAGGACGTATCGGGCATCGTGGACACAAGATGCATCCTCATCATCTGCTGGTACCAGATCATCCAGGACGGCTTCTGGGTCTGGGTGATGACAATAGAAGAAGTGTGATCGAACCCTCCAGCAAACTCCTCTGTTCCTTTCTTGGTGTTACACCGAGTCAGGTCAGAGGGGAGGGGGAATTGTGATTTCCACAAAGCAAACTCCCCTG